GGCTTTTCTTTCAATGTTGCTTTAAGACCTTTTTTTGTTTTTAAAGAATTCCTAGATCAAGGAATATTGACAGGTATAAAGTGCTAAGGGAAATCAATCCAAGATATTTCATTGCTGCCACTCTGCTAGAATCTTGACAGAACTTCCAGAAGGATGGGAGAAAAATTCAAAGTTATTTTCCAAATGTTTTTCACACCAAAATTGTTATAGGATGCTTGTGTTTAAGCAGCTTTGCAGTTTCTACCAAGTGTAATATTGCAAGCAAAGCATTCCATTATAAAAGAAAATTTGTGGATTGAGAATTTTTTGCAACAGATCTCTGGTGAACTTCAAATATACTATGGTCAGCACCTGCAACCTGCAGTAGGAAGGTTGGGTATGTGTGTGCATGTGCGGACGTTTCTCCGTATATGTGTGTGTGTAAGACCGTGCACATGTTTCTTCATATGTACCAGAGATACCATGTTGTACTATTTTTATCCCTTGCTTATTGCCCCTTTTTGAATATCATTCAATGCTACCTAGTAAATTCATATCAGAAGCATGAATAAAAAGACTACTGTATATAATGGGTTTTTTTTGCTGTTGTATTGCATCAAGCCCTTAACCAAATTAATTAGTAACAAGTATCTCCTGGAAATATTTAAGGCCTAGTGAAATAAAGTAACAGTATGTCCATAATTCAAGGAAGTTAAAAAAAACCCCATCAGAATTCAATTATACATGAATAGTTTACCTGATGCTTGTTACGCCTATGTTTGCTTATGTTTTTCATTACAATGTACCCAATTAGTTTGTTGCTTGAACCACAGGCTTACTCAGCAATAGTTGTGAAGCCAATAAAGATCCTGTGGTGGTGCAGTGGTTTGAATGCAGTATTACAACTCTGTCCACAACCTGCAGTTCAACCCTGATGGGGCTCAAGGTTGACTCAGCCTTCCATGAGGACCCAGATTGTTGGGGGCAATATGCTGACATTTGTAAACCGCTTAAAGAGGGCTGCAAAGAACTCTGAAGTGGTATATAAATGATATTGCTATCCTGAATATGTTAATTATCAGGGAAAAAATTAAATTCATAGAATTGTACTTATAAACTCTTCAAGCAAGAATTGGGGAAACAAGTGTATAGGGCCTACACTTGCATTTTGTGATATAAAGTTGAATAGGCTACATCGCCCTCATATGCTTAATTGCTGCTACGTAAGTTACTGCTCTGCATGCTATTTCTTTGAAACTTTTTCTGTCACAGAAGTTTTCCAACAATCATAGGCTTTTTGTCAGACTAAGTGACTAAATTAATTGACCATAGAAACTTAATGAAGTGGGCACTGCCTCTTTGCCATCAGATTAATCAGTAAAAATTAAACCATTCACTACCATTTTTATTATGCTTGCTCTAAGAGAAAACAGAATGTAATATAGAATAGGGCTTATTTTGGAAAAGTGAGTGTAAGTCTGACCTCAGAATATTCATGATTGCTCTATTACTTACTGAAAAAGGCCCATGATTATACCTGACATCAAAATTGTTTCTTGAAATACAAATCCTTCCCAATCATATTAGATATAATTGTAAGTGAAAATGAGGTGGTTCCTTTAAAAAAATCTACTTTTCCTGTTACACAGAAAGGGAGTGAAACAGTACTGTCTAGAGCAGGGTGTCAAACTTGATCCCATTGTGGGCCATATCAGGATTTTGTTTGCCCTTGGGGGGGCCGGGATGGGCATGGCCTTGTCATCACAGCTGACTGGGTAGGCGTCGTCAGGGTGCCAGTCCCTCATCATCTCTTGCCCCACGGGACAAGTCTAGGCCTATCGCAGGCTGGATTTGGCCCATGGGCCGCTTGTGACGTCTGCTCTAGACCATGGCGGATGGGGGGAGGTGTGTTTCCAATCTTTTAGCTTACCTGGGCTGCATTGAGTGAAGAGGAATTGTTCAACAGTATCTAGAAGTCCTGGGCTTCCTTGAAGCCCCACATTTGGAAGATGTGATAATTTGGACCTCATTCTTAGAACAAGCACTACTCAACTACAATAGAGCTTCTTCCTATGTTGTATCTGAAAATATGAAATATGTAATCATAGGGTCATGATTTGCAGCACTGTCTTCAGTCATTAGGACACTTTGTCCCCCAATAACTTTTTTTCATATAGACTGCGGTACACTGAGAATCACATGAATTGAGCTACATAGTTTGCAATGTTTTATTCAAATTATCAGTTTAGTTTATCAGAACTATCAAGCTTTTTAAAGTTCATTTATATCAAACAACACAAAGGGAGGATTTCTTTAGATACATTAGTTAATTCCTGATTTCCCATAGATATAATTCCCTCAGTGGCACGTCCTGTGTCTGTTTTGCTCTGGGTGATGTACAGTCTACTTCTGCAGGATAGATGTGATTGTAAAGATTTGCTGCTAATATTGGCCAAAACCATTTCTAGTATAAATATATATTGAGTTTTAATTATTCCTAGTAGCCCCTCCACCCCCCTAAAAAGAACCCCAAATTGAAATGCTGCTCTTAAGACTTTCTTTCTGTCAAAGAACATTTCATTTGTGATTGCTCAAATACAATTTACTGTTTCCAAATTGGCAAAACAAAATCTGAGAAAAGTAACCATTGTTTATGTGCAATATAAAAGAGACTTCATTTTAAAGAATGAATCAGAAAAGGGTGCAAGTCATAGTAGTCACTTAATTTTTTATTCATTGTTCTGTGGGAATAGGGAAAGAGAAGCATACATTTATACCATATTTCACAATCACTTTTTATCCAGGATGGGGTTATTCTTAAATACTTGCCGAAAAATAGCAAGAGCAATTTGACAGTAGTACAACAACCTGTGCCCAGAACACTGACAAGTACCGAGTAAAGCTAAAATAATTGCTTACCAATATTTTGAGAGGTAACATCTTATATGGGCTTGAGTGTGCGTCTTAAAAAAAAAAGTACTGCTGGTTGAATATATTGAGGTAAATGGTGTTCCAACAAGGATACTATTTTTATCCCTTGTTTGTAATCCTGTACATAGCTTGCTGAATTTTATACCAAATATTCCTAATAAAAATGCATTAAAAAGTTTAAAAAGAGAATTGGAAAAAAGGTCAACCAATCAGTCACCTCACTTTGTTAAACTACGATCAGCAATTTTATTCTGTAGAACAGTAGTATGAACACTATGTATTACTACTACATCTGATTACACCTTAGTTATGCAAGAGCTACTCCACATGGATTTTGCTATCAAAGAAAGTATAAAGTTGTCCAGACTCATTTTCAGAATACCACCATGAATGAGAACACTAGGTCAAAGAACTCCAACAATTACGAGGCACAATCTGTTCCAAAAATGCTAAGGTATATTTAGCGACTGTACAAAGAGTAGTCATGCATCATGTGATATAAAGTTCTTCGCATCTAACACAAACTGAAAAGGTATTGCAAAGTTTGGACTTTGAAGTTGTTCACAAAAACTGATCAGTTAAATCCTGTGGCAATTATATGGCAGCCAACTAAGTAGTCACAGGCCAACCAAAGGACAATGAAAGCTCAAGTCTCAGCCTGGGCTTTCCTTCACAAGTCAAAGCTACAAGGTAAATCACCAGAGCTGGCCAGATCAATACAAGCTGTATGGTTCAAGTACAAAAAGCAACAACAGCCACAATATCTGCCAGAAAGCAGAGCACTTTTCCTAGCTCAGACATTAATGGGTTAAATTTCCTAGGATAGATCTTGGCTTAAGCATTTTGAAAGAACTGTCCACCCTTAAATTTTTCAAAAAAAGAAGTCGAGATTTCATGCGCGACTATTTTGGTGGATTTTTATTTTTTGGGAAGTTTGGTGGATTTTAATAATTTGACAAATTCTACCACAAAAAAAGTGTTTTCTGATGAGAGGCATCTTGAAAAGCAAAGACTAGTTATGGGGGAGCAAGGAAGGGAAATTTTGGAAAATACTTTTATAAAAAACTCTTCTCACGTACACGATTCTACTTGATTGTCAGTTTCGATATTTCTCCTATATGACCTGCAATTTCAATTGCATTTGCAAAAAAACATACGTGAAAAGGTCTTACTTGGCTTGCATCATCTTGATGGAAGTCTATTTCATTAAAAAAACACAACCCTGCTCTATGAAGCTGTGGTAGGAGATTTGCAACCTAGAATGAAACTCTATATTTTCCTAGTATGAATATTTTGTGGAAAAACCATACGTGCCAATCATTCCTATCATTTTAGATGATGCTGTTGCAAATCAACCCCTACAAGTAGAATCAAGCAAATCATCTTCTTTTATTCAAAAAAATCTTAAGAACAAATGTTGTATTGTTAACGAAAGTAACGTTATACCCAGCAACATCCATAATCGAATTATGGCATCAAACTTGATAACTATGAGACCAAAACATGTCTCCATAGTGTATGCCAGTTTGCAGAGGGGAAATCCTCTAATGCTTGTCTCTGTTTAGAACCTGATGCCCAAATTCTTCTTTATAATTATTTCTGTTTTACATTTTTGGAGACCAGTTCAAAATTAAAAAACAAACAAACCTCACTGTGATTTCATAAATCTTGAGAAAAGAACATTCACAGTGAACATTTAACTATGACCACCTTTTCCTTTATAAATCTAATGTATTATTTCAATATAAAACTGCCTAGAATCTGATAATACTGGCTACTGTTGGTTCAGTACTTTTGTTTTGAGAATTCACTTTGGCTTGTATACATATAAACCATTCAGATAAGTGTAGTGTATTATTACTGCCTTTTAAAAGTACTTTGGCACCTGCCTACTTTTTGCCCCTTTTGCTAGTGTCTTCTTAATGGATAGGCTCCATTCCATATCACCATCCCTATAACTCCTTCAATTCAGTTGATTAAAGTTGTAGGTTTTTTTTTTCTTGTGAGACTATGCTACATTATCATTTCCATTGAAATAACTGCATGTTTGATGGCAAGGTTTTTTTTTTTTTCTTAAAGAGTCTGTCTGGTCATTTTTTAATGACCAAAAGTTAAACTTATGTATCACCGCTCAATGTTCCTCTGACAAGCCGGCACCAATAATCATCATCATCATCAAGTGATGTGAAACGACAAAAAGGCAACAGATATAAAATGTGTAGAGTTCAAGGTCATAAAGCTTCCTGAGGTGATCCTGAAACAACAACACAGTGGGAATAGAGTTATGTCCAAGGCTGGACCTACACACTGGGTGGTTGGAAACATTCCCCCTGCCACCTCCTTTCAACAGCAGCGCACCCCTCCCCCAAAAAAAAATAGCTAGAGGAGTTTCTGATCTCCTTTTGCACGGGGCAGAGGCTGGATTGCTGGGGAGGGGAATGGAAGGAAGGGTAGCTTCCACCATCTTGTTGCATGTGTCTCTGTGTGGATCAACCCACTGTGTCCTGTTTAGTGAAATAGAAAATAACACTAGACAAAATATACATGAAACAGCAAAAAAGTTCTCTGAAAGAATTAAGGTTAAGAGCTTTCCAGTGCCAGAGCTCAATAAAATAATAATTTAAAAAATCATGCTTAAATTTTCAAATTCCCATCAGACACAGCAAACCTAACTATTTAGTAAAATAAGTGTATACACTATTTTGGGAACTGGAGATAAAGCTTTTAACTAATTGGGGAAATCATCATTGAAAAGGCAATACATTTTTATACATAAGCTAGAACAAGGAAAGACTAACACACCATTTTAGGAATGGCCATGGACTGTTGGCATGAAGCACAGCTTATAACCTTTAAAAAATACACCATGGATTTTTTTTTAAAATGCATCATTTACAAAATCTGGATCAATTTATTATTTCAGTTTTATTAGTGTTGTCAATTCAATTTAGCATAGGTGGAACTGAGGTATACCTTGTTGAGGGAGGTTAAGTAATGCTTGGAAGCCTTTTTGCTAGATCCCACTTTGATTACATAGAACAGCAGCACACTAAACATTCACAAGCTGTGTCATATTGGCATTACAATAGTCATTTATATAAACACAACAGCAAATGCAATAAAAACAAGTTACCCTTTTTCTTAAATCTGAAATGAAATGTCTGATTTAAAAAAAATAGCAGTAGTTCATTTTAAGGAATTAGTCTGACATGTTAAGAAATACAATGTCAGTTTTTAAAATGTCTAACAAGCCGAGATAGGTCCATGTTCTTCAGGTACGTTTAACGTTATCTTGCCATTTTCTCCGGCATATGCAGTAAGTCTTCTGGATCCAAGACTGGAGAAAAACAAAGAGGAATCTTCCTACTGACACTTCAGAGACGGACTTACCATCATTTAATGCTGAAAATTACTGACCAGAAATAGGCCAGTTGACTTGGCAGTTCCAGTGCTGAGTCTTATTGGTCAAGGAGAGTGACCGCTGCTTCTATCATAGACTGGATTCTTTGGGAGGAAAATCCACATTTGTCACCATGGTGACCACAGTCACAATGTCTTCTGTTGTTATAATGTTTGTTAGTCTTTGCATTTGGATAATCCTTTCCTCTACGCAGCCTGCTGATAATCGGGCTTCTGCATCATGATCCCAACATTCTTCTATTGTTTCACAGAGCATTGCCATTCCCTAGAAACAACAAGGACATGGTTTTGGAATTCTTATACAATAGGACAGGATATAAAAATACTGTCCTGAAATACATAAACAGCATCTAAGTTATAGCCAAATTAAAACAAAAGGAATAAAACATCTGGTGATGTGACACCTTCTATGTGACCTTGACATTGAGGAGCTGGAGCAAGTGCCTAATTCTGAGATCCAGAATCAATCTGGAATGAGAAAAGATTCAAGACCATCTAAAATACTTACTGTTTATCTGCCTTAGCTATCAGCCCGAATATATAACTTAGGTTCATGATTGTTCCTGTATATAGGATCATTTTAGTTTCTTCTCCTTTTCAAAAGTTGAATGGATGCAATTTCAAGTTAGGATTTTGTAACAAGAGTTGTCCCTCCTCTTCCTTCTGCTAGGAGACTGTTTTTAAAATCTAGCTACAGTTTTTGTAAAATTCCTTCCAGTCAGTCTTGCAGACTGGCTAAACTGGTGTAGAATTTAAATGGGGTCAGATGGAGGAGAGGAGGACAGATTGGCTATGCAGATACAGGTTAAACAGAGAGATTAAAAGAACTTTATCAGCTAGCCACGGTGTTGTGTTAGAAAGTCATTGTGTTGTTGAGAGGCCTTTGAGATTGCCTGAAACCTTTTGGATGTATGTGATTTTAGCAACCTCTCTCAATTGTGTTTATAGACTTTCCTTAAAAGGTCACTGATGCCTGCCATGGGATGTCCTAGGAGGCTGAAATGCTCTGATATTAATTTATCCTTTTTTTTGAGTACACATGAGGAAAAAACACTTTTACAGACAATTACCATGCCCTTTAAATAATAGCCTGTAACCATGACAAATACATCAGCTATCTTTTTTATAGGTAAAAGACAAATAAGAAAAGTATTGAGTCCTGTTAAATCTCAGAAAGGGTGGAAAAAACAGCTAATTCCATCTGCATTAAATGCTTTACCTTTTTTCTGACAATCCAATGTTTACCACCTCAAACAGAAGCAGTGCAAAACTAAGAGGAAACAGCAATAGATCACCTCAAGGATCTTATAGGAGTCTATACTGAGTGACTGAATTTCCACCCAATGTAAAAAAAAGACTACAAAAATGATTTGGTTTTAAAAATTCACTACATATGAAAAAATTCCGTTTTCAACACTCTTGTGATATTTAGGGCATATCAATTATACTACGTTATGCAGATATCTGAAGCGAAACTGGAGGAATGAAAGTTAAATTAGGATATCCTTCCTAGGTGTAGACTAGAGAATGACATGAATCAGAATTCTCTTCAGAACAATTTTAATTTCTATTAATAGAATCTGTTCAAACTTAACACTGAAGTACATAGAAATGTGTCAAGCTATACATATTAACCTATATTTTTACGCAGCATATTAAACAGGATTAATATTAAAATTAAGCAGCCCCTCTTACATTTAGTGATTGCAAATATGTGTTAACTTTTTGCTAAATAGTAAAATAAAATTCTAAATGAGAATATTATTTTCAATATTTGGAATTTGTACTTTGATCCCTACAATTCTAACCGCTCTTAAGAGAATTCGGCTGCTGAGTTTTCCTCTTTTATAGAACAGCATCTGAGAAAAAAGAATTATATTGAAGTAAAAAAAGAATTTTAAGTTACCTATGGCAATATTCTATTCCTTATTTTAGTGAAGATGCACTGAAAGGAAGATCTTCCCATAATTCAAAAGGTTACCTTAAGGCATGGGTGTCAAACTTGCGGTGTCATGTTGCTATCAAGTGACTTATTGTGATGTTTCCCTTCGTGGAGCTGGGGTGGGCGTGGCCTGTGCGTGATGCATCTGGCCTGCGGGGGTGCCAATTTGTCACCCCTGCCTTAAGGTAACAGAATTGCCATTCTAGAAAATTCCATAGCTTTGCTTCTTTGTGGCCTTGTTCCAAAGAATGCAAAAAGAATATATTTGTGGATCAGAATGGAAGTATTCTTGGACCCACAAGACTGAATCACCTCCCATTCTGCCATGTACTTCTTCTCACTGGCTACAGGAATTAATTAATTTGTGGAGAGGTAACACAAACTACTAGGGGATATAGGGGAGGGGTATAGTTAAAAGGCCCCTCTTCACACTTCTTGTAGAGGTTAGCATATCAAAGAAGGAACAGCTTTCCCCAAATCCAATTCTTCCTATTCATGTAAGACTGAAGTACAGATAGGTTTGTTAGAGTATATGAATATTTTTTTAAAATTGTATTTTTAAACAGCAGCATGATACTGAAATTCAATTTCTCCATTGTACTTTAAATGTATTTGTATAGGTTAAAAAAGTTTTTTCTTCTGAAGAAAAGTTTCAGTACAGGTAGTCCTCGAGCTAGAACCACAATTCAGCCCAAATTTTTTGTTGCCAAGTGAAATATTTGTTAAGTGAATTTTGCCTCATTTTACAACCTTTTGTGTCACAGTTAAGTGAATCACTGCAGTTGGTAATAACGTGGTTGTTAAGTGAATCTGGCTTCCCCATTGTCTTTGCTTATAAGGTGGTGACAAAAGGTGATCACATGATCCGGGACACTGCAACCATCATAAATATAAGTCAGTTGGCAAGCATCTGAATTTTGATCATGTGACTATGAGGATACTGCAGCGGTTGTGTGAACAACAGTCCTAAGTCACTTTTTTCAATGCCGTTGTAACTTTGAATGGTCACTAAATGAATTGTTTTAAGTCGAGGACTACCTGTACTGGCAACATTATTTGTTACTTACAGCATGTTTCTGCCAACACTCTCTCAGAATAGGCCTCTTCTTTTTATGTACCACAACCTCCTGCATATCTTCCAGAGAAGGATGCTGACCCACTTCTTCCTCAAAAGGCAACATATACTCATCCACGGGTCCTGCATTGTAGGAAATAATAATAGTATGTTACACAAATTCTGTTAACTTCTAGTTTCATGCTGCTAGCAATAGCAATAGCACTGTTCTCTAAGTGGTATTACAACCTACTGCCCCCAATAATCTGGGTCCTCATTTTACCCACCTGGGAAGGATGGAAGGCTGAGTCTACCTTGAGCCTGTTGGGATTTGAACTGACCAATTGCAGGCAGCTGGTAGTCAGCAGAAGTGGCCTGCAGTACAGCACTCTAACCACTGCACCACGGAGTGGTGACAGGTTAAGAGACTAGAATGAAAGCTGATAGCTGGTTTATGACTGTCCAAATTGATTATATTGATCAAGGGTCAGATAACATCTAGCATAATTTTTTTCCCCTTGAAGTCAGATCTAGGCTTCTAAAGCATAGTTTCCAAGGCCCAATGCAACCTTCAATGGTTGTACAATAACAGATCTATATACAGTGTTTGCTTTTTGAAACTATGATGAAATCTGACAAAACGAGCATAAATATGCAGCACAGTGAGTTATTCAAAGTATTAGAAGAATTAACTCAATTGTAATTACAATTCTTGAAATAGCCATCTGTGAATTTCTTTTTCACATCTGTGTATTTTTTTTAAAAAAAAAAATTCAAAACTAAATATTTGGTCAGGCACTTGTCCCACACACACTATCTGTGTAGGTCTGGCTCATAAACTTATAGTTCCTAAGACTACTACATGAGATCTAAAGGTATTAATAAGGCCACCTAAGAGTAAGCACAATGAGGAGACCGGTTGGATGAATTAACATGACTACTTGAATAGCTGCAATTACAGATAAAATAAGGAATTGTGTTTTCTTTGATTCACACATAGATGACCAGAAGCGTTTACTTAAAGGATATGGTGATGATTGCAAGTGATCAGAGACAACTCATCTTCCAAAAGTTGCATTTGTCTGAGTATAAAATGCCACCTATAAAGTTGAATGAACATCCAGCATAGTTCTGGTAAGGGATATTCTGGAAAAAGTCTGCAATGAAGGACACACTGTATGAAGAGCTAGCAAAGCAATATGCAGTGAACTAATTTCCTTCTTAGGTTTTTTTTATTGTCTCTTTTGAATGGCGTGTAAATATGGTTTCTCTCTGTGTCTTATTGGCGTGGCTGAGCAATCTGAATGCTAAGCTTCTAGAAATTCCCAAGTGTTTCGGGATTTGGCTTGGTCTAAGATGCTAACAGTTTCACAGTTGAAACTGTGGTTGAGTATGTCTCTGTGTTGTGAAATGACAAAGATTTCATTGTAAAGTTTTCAAGTTTTCTGACTGCTAGTTGATGTTCTTAGATGTGCTCCGCTAGACTTCTGCCTATCTGTCCTACATAGTGGCCATTACAGGCTGTTACTATCAGTGTCAACTGCTTACCATCTGATGCTGTACATCGTGATGCCAATTCCCACAGAACTAATCCCATCGCATACATGTCTATTCTCAAAAATGCATCTCGCTGGAAGTTTATAGCACCCTCTAATACTTCAGGAGCCATGTATCTTCGGGTACCAACCTTGAAAATAAAAATAATCATTTGGCTTACAAAGATGCTAATTCAAAGTTTAAACTAATTAGATCTCACCATACATTGTAGAGAAATAATAACGTCAAAATCACATGGTATTTAGAATTTGGAGTCCTATAATTTATTTTGGAACAGCTTGCCATCAAAACCAAAAATATACTAAACAATATTTCTTAAAGGTAACCTTTGGAACATTTCCTATTTAAAAAAGCATTAAAATCTCTTGCTACAAATAGTTTCAATAGCTTTTATTATTATGAAACAGTGAAAATTATTAGCAACATCTCAAATGTGCTTTCAATGATCAAAGTTTGCATTCACATTGCAAAGTAAAGACAAAGCACAATCTCTAAGACACGACAGTTTCATATTCAGTAATATTTGTTCTTCTTGTCCTACTGCTCTATAATGTAAATGTTTATAACACCATGTTATCAACTGCACCCATGAGACTATGATCTGCTACTAGCCATTTTACAAAAGTGCTTTCAGTATTGTAATGGCAAGGAAAAGTATGGCAAAGTCTCTAAAAAATGAGGTATCTTAATTTTTATTTTCATTTCAACTTACCTGACCATGAGTATCACCAGCTGACTTCCCAGCCTCAAATTTTAAAGCAAGTCCAAAATCAGCAATACATGCCGTAAAATTATTTTTCAATAACACATTTTTGCTCTTGATGTCCCTTGAAAAAAATGAAGTACAAAATTGAAAACTGCCATATTTAAAAGGGATCAGAATAATATTTGGACATGTTTAACTGACAGTATAACTTATTTTTTTATTATAGCTGCACAGTTGAAGACATTTTGGCTTGGTAACTGGACAGTTTCTACATTTACAATTAAAACTATGACCATCACCATTCACATAGATATACAACACAAGAGCGCTTAGGAAATGGATGCAAAAGGCAAACTAAAAAGACTTACTTAATTAGATATACTGTATAATTTGAACCTCTAATGCTACCTCTTATAAAATAACAATAGGATTCAAAATACCCTTCTCCACAATGCTCTGTGGAGAAGGAAATAGAAACAGAAAAGTGATTTCTCTATGGTGATTTTGAGGTTGCTGCTGTATCAGGCAGAACCATCATTACTTTCTTCCTGACATAAATAAAGTAATGGGTAATTTTTGCAGGAGGGCACAGAGTGGTGGAGCTCCTTGCAAAACCCAAACTTTCGGAAGAAAATGATCTGTTTTCCCCTCCACAGACTGGCAAAAAAAATTGGGATGCTTTCTTTCCTAAAGCCAAACAATGTACAGGAAAAGCAAAGGACCCTGACTGCAATGTATGTCATATAGATAAAACAAGTGGTCTAATTGAAGTTCTATATATAAATGTAAACCAGTAAGCAAATCCTTTACTTGTATTCTATGTGCTACTGCAGTATTAAAACAATATTTTCTTTAATCAAGGTAAAGGAAAGGGGGGAACAAAAATTAAGAAGTATAGCGATGTATTTCAAATGGAAAGTCACTTATCGGTTTTGCTTCACACACTGCAAGAATTGAGAAGAGGCTAGAAAATTGTGAAAGATTGTACAATAGAGAATAGTGTTATAACCTTTCATTGCCCCAAGTACCTTTGTGAGTGACATCTAAATATGAGTCAGTCAAAATCTGTATTGCTTTCTAATGTGTCACTGCATTGTTTCTATAATCAAAACTGTGTTACAAATTAATTTTGCATTCTGATCACTGATTACTTCTTCTTCCTTCTACAAACTGGGTTGCATCCACACTTCAATATAGCAGAGCTCTGGTTTTGACAAGACTGCTCTCAATTCTTCTACCTTGCAAGTACTTAAAAGACTGCTCTGGAGGACTGGAAAGGAGTCCAAAAGAGCATGAGATGACTACTGTATGTGGGAAAGCAATTAAAACCAGAGCTACAGCCCTTTTCCCTTAGATTCCAGCTTTCTCTACTCCTTGTTATAGAATTGGACTGAGATACATTATAATGTGGCTCATTAAGGAGGAAATCAAACACTTTTAAAATCTCTTATTACAATTAACTATTGTAAACATCAGATGATAGACAGACAGACAGAAGAGGGGGGATGAGGGTGATGGGGGGGGGTACCTGTGGGATATAGCTGGTTTATGCCCTTCTTTTAGACCAGGGATGTCTTCATGGAGATAGGCCAAACCTCTTGCCATAGTTTCAGCTATATGACAGAGTTCATTCCATGAAACTATATTAGCCTTCAGGAAGTCAGTAAGTGAACCCTAAACAATAAATAATATTTTTATTTATAAACAATATTTTTCACGTTATATCATATCAGTAAAATTACATGACATATTTAATTAAAATTTTAGAACTAGGAATATACTTTGTTACACAGCCTAAATAAGAGAAACCACGCACTGTGGAGAGAATATCCCATTTGCTATTCTAGAACCTGGGATATCCAAATTTTATTGAAATGCTTCTGTGATCTGAGCTTGGATGGGAAGAATGAAAATACAGGGATAGGTTTCACACAACTCCAATATTAATTTAAAAAAGAATTCAAAGTAACATTATCATTACCAAAATAGAAATAATTCAGTGGGCATCTTTTTAAACATAGGGGAGGACAATGTTTGAGGAATTTGGGACTACAGGAGATTATCTAGTACTGGCAATATTTTTTCTGTCTCTTGATTTTTCTGCCCCCCCGCCAAATAAAAGTTTTACAGGTGGACATGGAAGAGGAAGACCTCTGGAAGGCAAATCACTCCCATCCCCGCTATGAAAAATGGTCTGAAATCACGGTCTTGTGTTGAGTTCTTCCCCTTTAAAATTTAACATTGATCTTAAAAGTGAAATCTACTAAAGTTCAGAAGCTTAAAAATTTGTCTCAAAATCTGCTTTTTTTGGAAGATATCCTATCTGTACACAATGAAAAGTTCTAATAGTTATCACATGAACTATTACAACTAAGCCATCACCTTTTCATGAAACGCTGTTATTAGCCACAAATCAACATCAATACTAGTGCCTCGTTTCTCAGCACCAATGAACTGTAGTATATTTTCATGCTTCATTCCTGGCAAGCTGTATATTTCATATTCATTTTGCCATGATTCTTTATCCTGGAACAACAAGAATCACATTAATTTATTTTTTTAAAAATACTAAATGTCTTGTCTAGATATTCAAAATAATTTCCAATAATCACAATCATATCTGATATGCTATGAAATTTGCCCAAATATATGGGGTGATGGCCAAAAAAAAAAAAAAAGATGGAGAATACACATTTAGGTTTGGTTTGGTTTGGTAAATTCACATTAACAGAGAACTCTTGCTTCTAGCAATTTCTGTTTAGTCAAGTTTTTTTTATTTATATATAAACATTTTGAATACAGTGTATTGTCCAGGCATACCGTTTTACAAAAGAAAATAAAAAAAGAAAAATAGTAACATATATATTGACAACAGTAGTAGTAGTACAACAAAATAATTCTAACCATATTTATAATTATGTTAGCTTATTTATAATCCTACTGATTATATTGGCATACATATAATTATAAACGTTCATGTTTAATTTATACATAACAGTGCTCTTTCTTCATCTAATTTCTACCTCTTATCTCTAATCTCTAACCATTGATAAAAACTATTCCATGTTAAGTAATACTCTGTATCTCCTTTTATTTTCAATGTCAACCTATCCATCTCTGCGCAATCCAATATTTTCCTAATTATAGTTTCATCTGATGAGGTGTTCTCTTTTTTCCAATATTGTGCAAATACAATTCAGTACATGTAAAATTAAATATATAGTCCCTTTATCATAGCTTTCTGGTATTATACCTAACAAAAATATTTCTGGTTTCAAATCTATATGCTAATATATGCTAATCATCTTTTCCAACCATGTGTGTATTTTCTTGCTTTCATACATGTCCACCACATATGATAAGATGTACCTGGGGTCTGATTGCACTTCCAACATTTGGCGGACATATTGTTAAACATTTTTGCTAGTCTTGCCGGTGGCAAACGCCACCTATAAAACATTTTGTAGAAATTTTCCTTGTATGCAGTAGCAATTGGCAGTTTGGAATTCTTATCTCATAATTTTTGCCATTTATCTAGTTCTACAGTATAGCTAAAGTTTTTTGCCCATACTATCATTGTTTCTTTAACTTGTTCATCTTCCATTTTAAAGCTTAATAAATAATTATATATTTTTCTTATCAGTTTTTCACCTGTCCCTAATAACATCTTATCAAGTGTTGTTGGTTCTTTATAAAAACCCCATGTTTTCGCATCTTTCTCATATCTTGATTGTATTTGCAAGTGTGGCCACCAAGCTAAGTACACCCCTTGATTTTGTAATTCTTGTCTAGTTTTAAGTTTACCATTCTCATTTAAAGTGTCTTTATAAAGTACCATTTTTTCCAAATGAATAAGATTTGGATGTATTAATGCTTCAATTGTAGAAAGCCAGACTGGTATTTTCGTATTTTGTGATTTAACTTTTTCCCATACTAAAAGTAAAGCATTTCTCACGTCTTCGAAAATATCTATGTGCAGTACTCCTTCCATATCATAAAAAAGCATGCCATCCTAATTGAAGATCGTGTCCCTCCAATAATAATAATCTTCTATGCCTCAAATTTATCCATTCTTTTACCCATGTAAGCACAGATGCCTGATAGTATAGCTCCAATCTGGTAGCCCAAAACCCCCATTGCCTTTGGACTCCTGTAACATTTTCTATTTTATTCTTGCTTTTTTCCCTTGCCAGATATATTTCAAAATTGTTTTATTTAATTCTTTAAAATACTTTTTCTCTAGTTTTATTGGTATTGTTTGAAATAAGAAAAGTAACTTCAGTAATACATTCATTTTTATGGTAGCTATTCTCCCTATCATTGATAATTGTAAATTCTTCCATTTCTCCAAATCCAACTTAATTTGTTGCATTAATTTTGTGTAGTTATCAACTTTAATTGTTGCACATTTTGCTGTTAAGTGGATGCCTAAATATTTCACTTTCTTTACTATCTGAAGGACTATTTTCTCTGTCAGTTCATTTCTCTGTCTGTAAGGGTTTTTTTTAACTGGTATTTTAGTTTTTTCTTTGTTTATTTTCAGTCCTGCAACTTTTCCATATTCCTTGATTTTCCCTATCAATCTGGGGCCAGTTACTAACAGTTCTCCTAGTATAAAAACTAAATCATCTGCAAATGCTTGTAGTTGCTTCTAGCAATTTCTGAACTGTGCATAAATCTTTAGAAATTTTGTGAAACAGATTATTAAATTGAGGCCAGAAAAATTTAAATAATTCTCTTAGAACAACTAATATTTGGCAAGCAAGTTATCTGCAGTTCTCTGGAATAAAGATAAGGATTTTTCCTGATTTGCTTCATCAAATAAATATAGACAATGAAGTGAGGTTAACAATTCAATAAAGTTCATCTGACAGTAAGACAGAATTAAATCAGCAATTTTCTTTTTCTTTATTTAGTTATTTCTCCCCAGATTCTAGAATGTTTTTCATGCTGCTGGTAAATAGCTGGCACATAAGTCATAAACAGAAATAGCAATGTGTTTAAATAAAGATTATAATTATTTATTTCTTATAGTTTTTTATTATGGACCTCTCTGCTCCACAGGGGGAGAAAGAAAGAGGGGGGGAAACCAATAATAGGACAGGCGGTGGACAATGTGTATTGCTGTAATGGCAATCACTAGACTCGGAGATGTTGCAAAAGTTGTAATGGGCCATAAATTTATTTTTTCAGCACCATTGTAACTTTAAACAATTGCTAAATAGAATAGTTGGGTAAGTGAGGACTACCTTAATTGGTCTGAAATTGTAAATAAATGATCTGATTTGAACATATTTTGATTTAAAAAAGAATGCCCTCTGGTTTTTATTAGTATTTAAATCCCAAGCCTGTTATTAAAATTGAATTATTTCTTCACCCATCAGGATGGATGTCTCACTGGATCATTAAAGATGTCCTTTCTTTTCTTTCACATTTTACTTGGTCACAAAATCACTGGAATGTTTTATTAAGCAATCATATAGCAATAGCACTTATATACCACTTTATAGTGCTTTACAGCCCTCTCTAAGCGGTTTACAGAGTCAGCATACGGCCCCCAACAATCTGGGTCCTCATTTTACCCACCTCGGAAGAATGGAAGGCTGAGTCAACCTTGAGCCTGGTGGCCTGCAGTACAGCACTCTAACCACTGTGCTACTGAGGCTTGTGACGTTTAGACATATTGTGAGATATCACCTGATTTCCTTATTATAACAGTCTTTTTAAAAACATTTTAAACATTTGTAACATTTCATAGTACCATACTTGATTGTTTATATACCTGCACTGGGAATATTTTCACAGCAACGTATTCATTTAACAGCTGAGCTTTCCAGACACAGCCAAATCTTCCTCTAGCTTTGATCTCTAGTAACTGCAATGGCTTTAAGCCCATCAATGGGGATGGAGGAGGTGGTCCAGGGTCCTAAAAATAATAACAGTCAACAAAAGTTTTTTTTTTTAAGTATAATCTCATTCACCAATTCAAAGACAATTTAGGAAGCAAATTATATCAACAATTATATCAATGCAAACAAAATATTAATTTTTAAATTAAATTTCAATTCTTTCTCAGCAAAAATGAAATGAATAAATCTAACACTTAAATTGTATGATTCCAAACAAAGGCATGCATACAAAATACGGAAGGAATTAAATTTCTTGAAACTAATCCAGTATCTTTAATCTCTATATATGGTCAATAGAAAACAGTTTCTCCAACATATATCTACTAAAAAAATTTGAAAAATACTTTACCTAAATGAAGAAACTGTAAAAAAGTTATTAAATACTCTATTTTAATGGAATTATAATTCTTTTATAGAAAATCAATATGTTTCATGCAGCCTGTGGTTATTTCCTGCATACGTACAGAATTCCTGGGGATCCATTCCTATTTTACCAACCCAGCTATTGACCCAGTATCACTTGAAAGATGGGGGAATCAGTTTTTGTAGTTAGGAACTACTTAACTTTATTAGCATTTATTTATTATAAGCATTACAAGAAAGGTTTAAAGTCATCTATTATGGCAATGCTGATTGGGACTTCGAAGATACTATATGTGATTATATTTCCTGGTCCTCACTACTTCATCTACTTTGATGAATACAAAAGGATCTATAGGATGTAGACAGAGTGAATTATGAACTGACCTCAGTTATAAGTTACAAGTGTCAAGGTATGATATAAACTGAGGTGTAATTATAGAATGATATGCTTCCCCCCTTTGTAACAAATAAATTATTCTAAAGATACATGGTTCTATATTTCTTGTTGAAAATAGGATGAGAAATCCTTTTTACCCAGAAATTTTATACATATGCTGTGATGTAACAATGGGTGGATTGGGTAGCACAGATCAAAAAAAGTGATAAATAGCTTAATAATGACATGGTAATAAACATTACAACAAAGGAATCACTTTTTAATCTATGTGGGTTCTTCATGCAACATAATTAAAATATTATGAGGATTAATCTTTACTACATACAGGAAAGGGACAAAAGGTGTATATCTTCATTAGTCCTCAACCACAAGGAAGGGATAAGATTACATTTTGCTTCTCACATTCACTGAAGAATGCCACTTTTCTTTTCCTCTTCCTCTGCATTTATATAAACTATCTAATCAGGCTGAAACTTTGACTCCTTTTGCATTTTTCTCCTAAGCATACTACTGTATTGCTTATACAAGTAGTCCTTGATTAACAATGGTAAATAGAGCTTGAATTTCCATTGTTAACTGAGGATCATGGAAAGTCTCAGGCAGCTAGCTAGCTAGCAAGCAGGCTGGCAGGAATGGCAGAGGAGGGCTAGCTCCTGCCAGGTTTGTGGGTAGCTTGTGTGGCACATGGTGCCAGGCAACTTACTGAAGCAACTTACAGCCTTCTGTACCAGTTTCCCTGGTGTTTCAGTCATTAAATGAAGTGGATGCTATGTGAAATATCAAATTTTAACTTCAATTTTCCTTTGCTTTACATATGTGCAAAGGTTATAAATATCAGGATTAGCTGCAAAGTTACTTTGTCATCACAGTTGTAACAGAACAGTCATTAAATGAGGCAGTAGCTATACAAAGACTACCTGTAATCCTACCTATGCCAATTCAATCCCACCATTCCAAATAGTAATGTGAAATAATAGTAGAAAAATGTATTTAACAAAGCAACAGAGAAAGTATTAAATGAATACTTCTCTGGATTCAACAGGCTGCCTGATGAACTCCACATATGTACTGGGTCTTCAAGATCTGGTTTCTAAAAGGAAATCTATCAAGTCTATCACTTCTGATTTTAAGAAAACTCTCAAAAATAGACTAATACCGCACGCAGGTTTGTTATTTAACATCCCAGGATAATTTCAGGTCCTTAATTGTGCATGAAGTAACCCTCTGAACCTTACAAGTGCATTATATTTTGAGACAGAGAGAACAGATTTTGAAACAATGAAAAATAAATGGATGTTAAAAACTTTTACCATTCAAATTTCCACAACAAAATACGAAACATTTTTCTCTTGCATATGCAGATTCTTCATCTTAACAGACATCCAATGATTGTTATGAAGAGGTTTTTTTATGTCAATTTGTTTATATGAGGTTCAGTATCACATGAATATACTAGGCACTGTATTAGATTTTTCCGCTCAAGCTAATGGAATATCACAATGTTTGCCATAATAGGCCATCAAATCGTTTTTTGATGCTGACATGTTATACTGTAGAAAATCCAACAAATGAAGAATCCAATAATTTTGGATACAAATAAACATCTTTTCCAAATGTTACTCCTATAGGTAGTTTGCAATTCCACAAATGTATGACTATATATAAAATGGTGCATCTTACCTCTATCATTATATGAAAGGCATGCTTGTAAAAGAAACACATACACACAAGCAAAAGGGAATTATTTCATATAATACAAAGCAGATATAAGTGCGTCTTAGGAAAAGTGAGAGCCATCAGTAACTAAATGTTATAAAATTCAGCATGAATTAGATTCTCAAATGTGTACTTCATTGACCTTTTTTGACAATAAAAGATAGTGATAGTGTTTATATACCTCTGACTTATTTGAACATTAAAAAGTTTGTAATCAAATGCTCAATTAGTACAGAAGCTTTCAAAACTTATTTCCATAAGTATAGGTAGTTAGAAGGCATAGAGAAATGTAGTAATTTAATTATTAAGATATTGGTTATGTTTTAAACAAAGTAACCGTGCAAAAAATATGTTGGTACATTACACAAGAGGGCAGTGTTGCATCATCTAACCTACAAACTACAAAGCGTAACAGTGAAACAAAACACATTACCCTCATCCTAATCTTACTTCATTTAACCATTAAACTTGCTAAACATAGTTCATTTTTCAATAATATTTTTGGTAGCTAATTAATTTTAGAAATATCACCCTTCTTTCCTTTTGATCAGCTGCTTTCATTAGGAAATATCAGCATATAAATTAACATTTAATTAACTTTTATTTTAACACTGATGAAACATCTCATTTTTTTATTTTTTTTAAAAGTGGAGGTGAGCTTACTGAGAAATTGAGGGAAATGCTTTATAAACTAATATAAAATTCACTAAAAACCAATAGCAAAATGAAAACACAAGGAGGCAGATCGGGAGGAGAAATTTCTATCGTCAACATTCATACCAACCTGTGATTCTACCCTCACAACTGCTCTACCTAAGTTATAAGTGTACTTCTTTCCCACATGAAAACTACTCAGCAAGTAATTATGTTGCTGTCACTGCCTTTTCTAGAACAGAGATCTGTCCCATTTACCAGGAATCAGATGTGTTAAACATCTCCTTTCCCTTCCTCTTAAAAAAATGCCACCAGATTTTCCCTTTAAATCAACAAGGCAGTCATCAAGAAAGAAGGATTCTTATTTTAATAAAAGCAGTAGGTACTTGAAAGAACAGTTTAAATACAGCAAGTTGCACAAGGAAGAAATGTGTTTAAAATCCAGTGTTTACTGATCCACAAACACTCAAAGCAAGCAAAAATATAGATAACTGAAACAGATGCAAAATTACTTCCCAATCATGTGTGCCTCACTGAGCAAAAATCAAGATAAGGGGACTGGGTGGGAAAAATCATCGTTCATATGATAAACATTCCCTGTCAACCTTACTACTGTAGTTTCTATTCTTCCAAGATGCTAATAAATAACAAAGAAATTCCTGATATTCTCTTCTCTTGAATCTTCTCCTCCCAAATAAAAAAATATTTAAAGGTCCAACCAGATAATCAGCAGGTCACTCAGAATTAGGAGTTTCCTTAATCCATTATATTAACACTAACTGTGCAAAATCAGAAATCTTCAGCTTTATAAAGGTAGAGTCTCTGATGAGGAAAAATATAGAAAATGAGAGAAAGAAATCCTCCTTTACTTCCCATGTGCAAACAAATGGGTTAAAATAAGTCAATTTTTTTCTAATGATTCATATTGGTAATTGGATCACAGAAATAACTGAAACAATGTTGACCATATAATAAACTGCCCTGACAGAAAAGCCTGTGCAAATTCTTCAGAAACAGAGTTGGTAATGTACCAACTTTGTCTAGTCTGTATGGCTGCTTTGAAAACTACTCCCACCAAGCTTTATTCACATATGCCTGCCAGTTTGCAAAGTGAAGTAGTTACACCAGGCTATATTAGGCAGGAGCAGTTTCTTATGCACTGGTTTTGACAATTTGAAGAGGAGTTGATCCTCTTTCAAAGGAGTTTCATAGCCTTATTGTATAGTAAAACATAAAATAGTGCTTAGCAGCCCAGCATGTAAGATCTCATTCAAAGTGAAAAGAAATTATTTCCAGTGCTTATCAACTTCTTGGTGTCAGGAGCATCTGACATAAATTACAAAAATTCAGTGGAATAAAGGATTTGCATGTGTGTGAATATGGCTAATGATATATGGCATTCAAAATATAGATGTAAAATTAAATAGAAGCGGAGTAACTGTACCAACTGCTCCATATACAAAAGGATGATAAAGAAGTACTGAATTCATCTAATCTGGCAATAAAAAATTGTTAAGCACTGCAATAATTACACTTCTAATTTGGAAGATACTGCTTTTCAATGAATATCTTGCAAACTTCAGTGTGATGGTACCATTTTCTGAGGAGCTAACCAGATACTGTTATGCAATCAACTGGTTTTAAAGTCTATATATACTTTCTAAATATTAATAATATATTAATCAATACTTATTGTTTGTGAAGGACAATGATCACAACCAAATTAGTTCAAATAAACCAAATAAGTATGCTGAATCAAGGTTGACAATACATTTGTAATAAAACTATATAATCTACCGTAAAATAATTATTAAAAACAGTTCTACCTAGGGGTGGGATTCAACCGGTGTTACTACCGGTTTGGTAACTACTGCAAATAGAACATATAGAATAAAAGTATCGAATTTATTGTTTTGGTAGACAAAGACATGGGTGGATCAGAATATGAAGCACATCTAAGGTGTCCTTCCTTTTTCATATAGCAGGTGAGTTGCTTGGTACACAGTATTATTCTCCTTGATCTAAGCAATGCAACTCACAACTTCTCTGCTACAGAAATAATAGGAAGGGTGTTCTTTCCAAATCATTGCAACAAGAAATACCTTGTGAGATGAAGATGGCCAAATACTTCTTGTCTAAGACTAAATGAACCAAGTTAATTTTACTATTACCATTTTAATAATAATCATGAATCATTTAATTTGTTTCCAGAAATACAAACTAGGAAACAAGCTCAATCACATTTAAAAGAACACTAATATCACTCTCAGAAATAAACTCTGGTTGCTAGCCCATTTGGGTTTTCAACTTTTTTATTCATTGACTAGTAATTGACTAGTACATGGCACAGAAGGTGGGCAGTGGCTCCTATGCTTGAACTCATTCCTCTTCTATCAGGTACAAGAAATGCCTAGTATTCTACAGTTGTTTTAATGAAAAGTTGAAGTAAACTTTAACTGACAAGTTTTATTTTTCAAATTACACCCTCAGAAACTATTTGATTATAGTAGTAAAAAATAGTAACTGATAAGCTAATTTTCATTTACTTCATAAAAGAAAAAGGAGCCAGGAAAATGATGAAACCTTCTTACAACTTTTGTGCACGTAAGGAACCAATTTAAAGTAGAGCTGCTCACTAAAACATTTGCATGAAAATTATAGAAACAATTTCTCCATTATTTTTTTGAATAGGTATAGCCTTGGGTCATACTGTAGTCTCTGTATGGCTCAAATTCGTTCATTTTGCAGCATTTAGTACTGACAGCTATTTAATTACTTCCATGGATGTAAAGATATCTTCAAAGGTTCTGCATTATTCCACAACAAGGTAGATGTAACTTTATGGCTATAGATAGTATTATTTTGGTAGAAATCTGAAGTGGTTGGCCTATCCTATCTCCCTTTCATTTTTACAAAATGTTTTAATATTGCATATACTGATTTTCCAAGGTAGGTGGAAGGAACTGGCTGATCTTTAAAAGCTCAGGAAGTTCAGACCTGGTTAATACTTGGAAAATCAGAAGGAAATCTCAGGGCTGACATAAAAAGGGGAAAGTGTGTGTGTGTGGCGGGAGGGTTGGGGAACCAGAATAAGCCAATGGCAAAGCATTTCTATATTGTTGCCAAGAATATAATGTAAGTATGTCCATGAAGTCAACTGGTATCAAACTACACTCATGAGACTTGATTTCATTAGACTGATATGTCAGTTTTACTTTGATCTTCCTTTTTAAAATTGTATTGATTTTTTACTACAAATTATTTTGGATATTCTTTCTTATATAGATGATATAAACCTATGTTTATAAACAGTTCAAATTATTTTAAATAAATCAACTTTTTCAACTTCATAAAAATGAGCCTTTTAAGGGACTTTTTTCAGCTACAGGTTGCTTACAGCATGCAGAAATGTCCTTGTAATCAAACTTATGTATCACTGATTGTATCTACTGCAAATATGTTGATAATCCGATTTATACTCTACATTCATAGGTTTATATTAGGTTCCATGTCTAGTCAGATCATTTTTCTGTTCAAATTCTTTTATATTGTACTCCTAATCCACTGAGTTTTATAAATACTCTATGTTTAATGGTACTGATAAAAATGGTAATGCCAAAATTACAATTATAGAATATGCACAGAAGAACTTATGAAAATGATCACATGTGTTGTAATGATCATAAGACTGTTTGTAGCACTTTTCACACTTTTCGTTATATTGAAACCTCTCTGCAGCTGCTGCTGCACACAAATACCCCTCTGTAAGGTCAAGGGGATCCTTAAGTAGTGTGGACTTATATTTTGCATCACATTTTGTATGAGAATGTTTATGAAGTGTGCACATACACTTCTGTATAAATTATGGATATTCATAAAATTCATTTTAAGAATAATTTTGAAATATAGCCAAGTTCAACAAGGACAGTCTTTCCTAGATTTTCTAAACAATAGGATCTACTGCAGAAAGCCAACAAATTACAATGGAACCTGGCAATATTATTCAAATGCCAATTATCTCCTGCAAACAGTCATTCCTAGTGCAAATATCCACCCCAAAACTGCTGTCAAACATACAGCTCTACATGCAAAACAGTTCCTTCCACTAGCAAGGTACTGACTTACATAAACACCAATGCATGGGCAGCAACAAGCATGAAGACTTTTTATCTCCTGACATATTTTGAATGGTGATAGGACTGAATTGCTTTGATTAGTTAGATACCTGAACAAAATTAGAATACAACTGAATATTCAAAAAATATTATTTTAAAATAATTTTTCCAAATAATGAGAAAAACAAGAGTTTTCCTACATTTAATATGCATACTTTACATCCTGTTACCACAGATGAGTAATTTTAAAACATATCATATACAAATCATAAAGTTCAAAATATTTACTTTAAGCTGTGCCTTTTGCAAAATGTTTGATGTAGGATGCTGACAATCTTTTTATGAATTGTGGAAGAGAGAAACAAAACTAATTTCAACTAATTTCTTCCTCTAGCTACAGACTCTCAGATCATATGCCAACAGTTTTCCAAAAATCTTTAAAAAAAGTCAAATAGCAACCGTCAAAGGTAACAAGTCTATATTGACTTGAGAAAGCTAACAAAAAGATGGGATATAAATCTGACAAAGAAACAAAAGTACTTCCATTCAAAATAATGCACTTACTTGGGTTGGTACAAGTACTGGAGGATATGCTAATTTGTGGTGTCTGTACATCCAGAATGAAAAGAGTACAATCACTGCTATTCCCATTATAGGTCCAAGAGAGTAAAGCAAGGTACTAAACAGAGGTGGTTTAGTTGGCATAGGATTGGAAGTAGCTGCAGGGGGAAGAAGTTTTCTTATAATTCAATTTTAACACAGAAAATATAAGCAATTCTTAAAAATTGAGGACATTTAAGCTATCTATTCATTAAAGTTATCTATGAGACAGCTGAAGCTTAAATGTTTAAATTTTAGGTTTGCATTTAAGATCATAGTATTTTGCCTATTCTTGAAGGAGATTAACAGACTGAGTTGGAAGGCACGGTTAAATGTATCATCAGTTTGGAATCATTGTGCAGCCACAAGAAACCCAAATCCAGCTCTGCAGAATTCCATTGATCCTTACCTAGCACCAATTTAACTTTGACCATAAGTTGACCAGATTCTTGTGTATAGTAGCAATATTATCAGTGTTTTGAACTGGTGAATGTTTTCAATTCTTTGCACCTGACAATTGAAGTCATTGTAATTTAGTAATAATCTTTATTGGATGCAACCATCAGGCAGGGGTACCCAATCCCCGAGCCACAGCCTATTCGGAATTGGGCCTCACAAGTGACTGGCTGGAGCACGCAGGCAGTTCAACTTGTGTGAGTGAAGGGCTGGCCTGCCAATCGTGTAAAGGCTGCATGTGTGCTGGCCTGCCACTTGTACGGCCCAGTTCCCTCTTCCTCTCCCTGTTGGCCACCAAGCCACAAAGGTTGGGGACTGCTGATATAGATTATTGTTGGGATAAAAGGGAGATACATAAGGTCAAAATTCAGCAATAATTTTTCCAATCTAATCCAACTTCAGATGGTCCTTGTATTACAACCATTCATTTAATGACACTTCTGTGATAGAATGTGCATCTGGAGAAACAACAGAGGAGAATCTTGCTAGCCCAGAGATTTCCCAACAGTACATTCAGGAGGGAAGCCCAAATTAAGAGACTGCAAATTCCCAAAGTGGATGGTGGGGAGGGGGGAATAACTTTTAAAATAGCCACACCTTAGAACAGTGATGGTGAACCTTTTTGTTGTCGTGTGTCAAAAGTGCGTGCACGTGCGTGCGTGCCGGCATCCACAATGCAATGTGCTCTGCCTCCCCGCACATGCGCACACAACACCCCTGCCCTATCCCCTTACTTGCACTGCACATGCGTGCGCCTCCCAGCTTATATTTGGCCCGTTTGAGGCTGTTTTCGCCCTCCCAGAGGCTCAAGAGAAGCCTCTGCAGCCTCGGCGGGACCGAAAAACGGGCCTTCCAGAAATAATGGAAGTGCCCATTTTCAGCCTCTGGAAGGACTCTGGAGCCTGGGACATGCCATTTTTGCCCTCCCAGAGGCTCGAGGGAAGCCTTGGGAGGCTGAAAATGGGCCTGTTTCAGCACTTCCAGTATTTCTGGAAGGCACGTTTTTTGGCCTCCTGAGGCTGCAGAGGCTTCCCTTGAGCCTCTGGGAAAGCAAAAACAGCTTCCCCCGAGTTCCAGAGGCCCTCAAGAGACTGAAAACGAGCACTTCCGGTATTTCTGGAAGGCTTGTTTTTCGGCCTCCGGAGGCTACAGAGGCTTCCCTCAAGCCTCCAGGAAGGTAAAAACAGCCTCAAACAGGCCGAAAATCAGCTGGGAGGCGCATGCATGCGCAGTGCAGGTAAGTTTGGCTGGGACTCGCATGCCCGCACAAATGGCTTTGTGTGCCATAGGTCTTCCATCCCGGCCTTAGAACCTCTCCAGATATAGCTATTAGAGAAGTGAGTTATTGCTGTAGTTTATGTCCATTAGGTAAAAGCAAATAAAAGATTGGATTTGATTGGATTTCACTGTGCGGTCTTTGGGCTTGGGCTTGGGCTTGACAGATTTAAAATTATGATAAGCTCAGAAAAAAATTACTTATCACCCATCCTTAAAGACCATCACAAAACCTCTGTAGTCACATGATCATCATTTGGGTGCTTGGCAACCAGCTCAAATTTATGATGGTTGCAGCATCTTGCAGTCATATGATCATGAACTCTGGCTTCCAACAAACAAAGTCAACTGTGAAAGACAGATTCACTTAACAGCTGTGTGATTTGCTTAACAAATATGTGATTTGTTTAATGACAGTGGTGATTCCCTTAACAATTGTTGCAAAAATAGTTGTGAAGTTGGGTCCAGTCATGTGATGCCTTGATTTATGATCAGACCGACCTTCAATGGAAATTTTGATACCAAGTGTGGTTTTAAGTCAAGAACTACCTGTATTGTTTAGTATTGTATCTAACCAAGGCTGCTGTATCCAGGTCCCTTCCTACGTTTCCTTATTTACAATTATTATCATCCAATAGGATAACAGAAAAATACATGTTGTCTATAAGTATGTTCAATATTTAATATAGGTTTTAAATTCTAAGTACATTTCTCTGTGGGACTCTTTTTAGGAAAAGTTATATCACATACGTTGTGTAACCTCCATCTCTGGAAAGTAGAAAAAATGTTCATTGCACATGTTGCCCTCACAGCAGCAGAAAAACACTTCAGGGCTATCTTTCTTTTCTATACAGTCAGTTCTGAAAGAGATGAAGATCAGTTAAATATTAAAATGGTACAATTATACTTTTGAAATCCAGCAAAAATTGCTAGGAGTAAATTAATACATAATTTAAAAGGTTGAATATCTGAGTAATTATAATTTTGTGCAAAAGTACATCAAACTTTCATTTGGCTTCCATAACGAAAGGGAACAACATAAAAGATACTACATAAAAAGCAGCACAAATCACACACATTGTATCAAAAGATGATACCAGTCTGATACCAGCAGACTGCCTATTGCTTCTTATAAAGTGGTTGCTAATCATGCTAATCTGAAGCATCTCTTAAAATAACAGTACAAATCTTCTACACATCTAACATGCGAGCTTGTTTTTCATTTTGAGAAAAGGCCTGCAGGAAATAGATAGAAAAAAATACAGAAAAGACTGGCGCTTCAGCTCACTCTCAATTTAAATTATGACTCCCTGTAGCATTTCAGCCTACATTTAATACTGCACTGCATTAGCTGCAACCAATGCAGTTCATGCAATTATGCAGGACCGTCTCACCAGTCAGATATGTGAATCTGAAGAACTTTCTCCACACCAGATTAGCTCAGCACTAGTCTGTTCCAATTTGATTACCAAATCAAAAGCAGATTTGGAAAAATGGATCTTTACATCCTATTTTTACTTATGGAAAAAAACAAACACATCCAATGTGGTTTGGCTATTATTTATCAACAAAGCCTCACAAAACGTACATAAAACTAGCCAACTTTTACACAGAAGAATGAACAAACAAATCTGTAATTAAAATAGAAATACCTAAAAAGTAATGTGGCAATACCCCCAAACAATGAAAGATCACTCTATCACTTACCTTAAGGAATTTATTTGGTATTTTACTCTGTATAAATTTTGTGTAATAGTCTATGTTTATACACATCATCAAATTCTATACTTTTGAACAAGATTAAACTTTGCAAAACAGAAAATGTATGAAAATAGTCACGTTTGCTTGCCTGTCATAACAATTAATATCATCCAACCAGCAACCCTTTTTCACAATTTCAATAGATCCAGAAATATTCTTCCATGTTGCAAAGCAGTGTCTTCTTTTATCTTTGTCACCATAGCACAGTTCAATGCCACTACGATTTGTCTTATCATTTTCCCAATTAGCATTGTAGAAGATGCATTCCTGTGTTTCTGATCTGCCGAGTATGGCACCTGCAAGGAATTGGTTTTTAAGAATTAAATTCTGGATAATCTTGGAAAAATAATTAAATACTAAGAACAAAGCTGTATTTAAAATGTCTTGCAATTTTTACTACATAAATATTATGTCTGCATTTCAGTCTGGCATACATTTCTTTTTTTTTTTTTTATGGCAGAACAATAGTTGCTTTTATTTACTATTTTTAATTTAATAATGCAATTTTTTTGGATATCAAAACTCATTGTTTTCTGATATTCACAGCAAAGCTATCTGTAATAATTTCTATCTTAAGAAACAAGTAAAGTACAATTCTATCTATTCTATCTCCAAAATTACTTGTCATTTGCCAATCTAGTGAAATCTCTTTACTATAAAGGATGTTAGCGGAAAAATATGATTTTATACAGAAATATCATCTCCTAGTTTTCCTGTAAGATACTGAGGAATTCTAATAATTCCTCGTGCCATGTAAACCAGAAAACAAAATGCATACTATATTTCTTGTACTCTGAAATTCTAGCATAAAATCAATAAACATCTAGAAATGTAGGCATAAGCTTAAAATAGTTGGCAGCTCTTTAATACTGAATCTAAACTATGACATTATGTCCAATAATGTATTAAATTTTTCTATGTTTATGTTCTATCTTCTGTCCTTACATTTTTCATTAAAGCATATTTGCCTATGGCTACGTTAGAATCAAAACATGTTTCAGATACTCCATTTAAATTTGTAGCCATCCATTTTCTTTCAGTTCACTCAGGCAGGAGAGAAAAACAGCCAACTCTTACAACCTTTTCATGTGTAGAGACAATGTCTTATACAGACTGTCAAGTTATCTGAATTCATATTTTCATTTGAAAGTCATTAAAACATGTTTGACTAGACTTCATACTTCTAACATAAAATGTCATTAGCATACTGTATTTCATAACCATATAGAATTACTGCAGGCATACTGTGATTCTACTAGAGAAAGGAAGAGAAGGAATAGACAAGAGGAAGAAGCAAAACCAAGATACAAATTAAGCAGGCGCAAGTGATTTATTTTCTATTTAATAAAACTCACAAAATGCAGATCTGCTGCAAATAGGAATAATGCAATTTTATCGGTAAAATCTAATTAAGTGATAGTACAAGAGCAAAGGTTCTAATTTCAAATTCTAAATGTATTTTTTAAAAAAATTATTACAATCCTTATATTTGAAGACTCAAATACTTTAATTTTTTTGCAATTAAGGAAAAGTACTTTATAAATTGAATTTCTGAAAACTTACACCGATTTCAGTGGAACTTAGTCATATCAAGAGTCATTTCCACAGTTTGAGTTGGTATGGACTTTGTCTCCAGAATTTTTTTTAAAATTTTAATATGAACCTTACCAAAGTAAACCAAAAGTGGAAAAGTGGACTAACATGAGCTGTGGATTTGTATTATTCATTGGATTTTGAGGTACTCAACTACATATGGCTTAACAATTTTTAAATAGATTTTTTTAAAAAAGGAACATGACTATCCAGGCAAAAAAAAATAAAAAAAAAAACCAAATGAAAACATGTAAACACACATGTAAGTCCATGAAAATATACATGTCCTTCTCTTTTTTTCCAACAGGACGAGCGAATGAAACATGGAAATGTAGTAATTAAACAATTGCTAATTAAACAAGGAACAAAAGATAGGAAAAAAAATTTATGCCAGTGACAAGATTTCTCAACAATATTGGTCATTCATTATCTTGTAGTGATCGGCATATGTGGGACTGATTGGGGTAGATTGTAGGGATGATAACGAAATATAATTTCATCATATTTTATTTATCTATATATTAAATTATTGCATTTTATTCCATTTTCATTTTAAATCTGATTTTATTCCAATTTCATTTTAAATTGTATTTTATCAAATTCTATTTAAATTGTTTTTATCAAATTTTAGTAATAATTTGTGTCTGAAACTCTGCATTTGATATGGCCCAAGGGCTAATCAATAAAGTAAACTAACTAACTATCTTGTAGTGTATCCAGAAACACTAGAAGCCAGCATAGTTCATGTTATTTTATTTCTACAGATAGTCCTGGACTTACAACAGTTCATTTAGTGAATGTTTGAAGTTACAATGGCACTGAAAAAAGTGACATGATCATTTTTCACAGTTACAACCTTTGCAGCATCCCTAGGGGCGTGTGATTAAAATCCAGAAGCCTAGCAACTGACTCGTATTTATGACAGTTGCAGTGTCCTGGGGTCATGTGATCATTTTTGTGACCTGACAAGCAAAACCAATAGGGAAACCAGATTTAACAACCGTGTTACTAACTTAACAACTGCGATTCACTTCACAACTGTGGCAAGAAAGGTTGTAAAGAAAGGGACAAAATTTACTTAACAAGTATCTCACTTAACAATAAAAATTTTGGGCTCAATTGTGATCATAAGTTGAGGACTACCTGTATTCGTTGTATCTAATAGGAGCTGCCACACTCTGTTTAGGTGCAATTTCCAAATCAGCTTTTAGGACACCTTCATTTAGCATACCTTGTTAGCAATATATAAAGCAAGTTTCTACAACATGAACTACTGTAGCTAGATTTTAGTAATAACCACTCAGAAATTCAACTCCTTATTATGCATATAAAGGTCGCTCTTGACTTATGATCAAAATTGGGACAGGAAAATTCATTGTTAAGTGAGGTGAGTGTTCAGTGAGGCCTCTATGACTGCACCAAATTGTATTACCTTTTCTGCCACAATCTTTAAACAAATCACCATGGTCATTAAGCAAGACATCATGTGATCCCAATTTGTGACCTTCCCTGCTGGCTTCCCCTTATTGACTTTGTTGGAAGCTGGCTGGGAAGGTTTCCAAATTGTCATCACATGACAACAAGATGCTGCAGCTGTTCTAAATATGAGCTGTTGCTAAGTGCCCAAATCATGAGCAGGTGACCATATGTGTGCTGGGACAGCCAGACCTTTGAGGTCCTATATCAATTTTTCAGTGCTAAGGAAATTTTGAACAAATGTTTATGAGTTGAGAACTATCTGTAGTGTTACTCAATCTGTAGTGTTATTAAAAATTCCTGTATTTATGTATCTAAATCCCATCTTTTTTATTTTTGTATTTTATGAACACTATTATCTCACCTATTTCCCATGAATCTTGCCTCATGTTTACCTACTACCCAGAGGGAAGGGGGCAGTTGTTCTTTGTTTTGTCATTCCAAGGATGCAAATATAGATTAATGAAGCATGGGATTTGTCATCATTTAAATAATATTTTAAAAATTGAAAGTGTAGTTTAAGTTCACATTTATTCCAGATCCTTGAAGAATGACATATTATATTTCAAATAAATTACTTTTAGTATAACAGATGAGTAGTTTTATATTTCGTAACAAGGTTATAGCCTAATGCCCTCCCCCACTAGCAAAAAACCTGTCAATGTTATTTTTAAATGCTTTTTAAGCGCCTTAATTATTCATGATTTTCCTTCATGTTTATATTTTATTGTTGTAGGTCATGTATAACTATACATATAAGTAAATTATATATGCAAATATTGATTTTCTGCCCAAGTTTTTTACTTTCAAGTCTCAGTCTCTTGTAACTTCTGTTTGCTTCTTTTTCCCATAAAACCAGTTTTTTATATGCATTTCCCCAAATATTGGTTATCTGTTTCATGACCTTTTAAAACTGGTGTCCATTTCAAACAAAATGGATTTTATAAGTAGGCAAAACAATACAGCATGCTGAATTCTACTTCACGAAAATTTAAATCATTTTCATAGATCATTTTGTTTAGATCTCTTAGTTCTAACTGTGCAAATATTGTATGACCAGCATATAAAATTAAACAAAACTAAATACATTTGAAAGAAAGTTGGGGATTTACAAAAAGAAAGTCCTGCTACATTGGATAAAAGCTAAAATATTTGCTTGTTCAGCTATTCTAATATTTAAAAAGAGAAAATATGTAGTATTATTATATACTTTATTCTAATGATATATAAATTTGTCAATTGCTTCTTTAACAAAATAATGTAAAACTGAAAGTTTTTTTAAAAAAAGATGCTTATCCATAATAGTAATATTCTGTCACTATTTTAGACCTTTAGAGATTCATCTATCTCCCTTCTCCCTAAACATTTATTCAGCAATTTAAAAGAGAACATTGACAAATACTCAATGTTACAACTCTTCTTTATCAGAATGAAATATGAGCAATCTATCTCCAATATTCTTTCAAGTGTCATTATTCTGCCCCAGCAAGTTCTTAAAAACCTTAAAGGAAATTTTGAGTCTGTGCCAAGAATTGCATGAGGAAGAACTAGCATTTACAGATCATAGTTCTAATGGAAGATATAATTCCGTGCTCTGAAGGAAATCCAAAGTAAAAAGGATCCCTGACAAATAGCAACACAGTCTCTCCTGAAACACTTAGAATAATGGGGAGCCTACTAGCTCCCTGGTGACTGGTTTTATTTTAAAATTAAAATACACTTTAAAATGAAATTGAGATCCTATTAAAAGGAAATTTCAAAGCTGTATTAAAGGTTGTTATTCTAACAAAACAGGTGGATAAAAATGCCAAAACCAGGCTAAACATCTGGTTGACTGTGCAACTGACCATAATAATGCTTTCAAGTCAGCCTTGACTTCTGTCAGCTACCTGGACAAGTGATCTAAAACTGACATGAAAAAAAAATGAATCCAAGTTGTCATGGCTCAGGATACTGACGCTGAAAAATTCCTCCTCCCAACAGAAAGTCAGTCTCAGGAGACACAAAACTAGACTCACCTGAGGCTCAAACATAGGCATCATCAGAACAGCTGGAATGGTCAGGTGATAAGGGACATTGGTCTTACCTGATATGCTCTTTCTCGGTGTTCTGAGAGAGAATCCAAGGAATGGGTTAACTGCTCTTCTGCTCAGAGACTGAGTCAATCAATCTTTTGGTCATGCCTCCTTTGCCTTTGCATGCCCAGTTTTGATGAAAATGTAGCGAT